TTCACACTCACTGCCAAGAAATGATGATACTCTTGATGCCCGAAGTGGAGCCAGGTGGTTTTCAACTCTGAACTTAAAGTTCCCATCAAGTGAAAATGGCTGAAACAGATAAAACTAAGACTGCATTTAGTTATGGCCAAAATCTCTGGCAATACTGTGTGATGCCATTCGGGCTTAGCAATGCTCCAGCAACATTTGAGAGGCTGGTGGAAAGAGTACTGGAAGGCCTACAATGGAGGATAGCCCTAGTGTACCTGGATGATGTCATTGTTTTTGCAGCAACATTTGATGAGGAAGTATCCTGGCTAAAGGAAGTATTCAAGCATTTGAAAACAGCAAACCTCAAACTCCATCCCAAGAAATGACACTTGTTTCAGAAAGAGGTGCTTTACTTGGGTCACATTGTAAGTGAGCGTGGTGTTCAAACTGATCCTGACAAGGTGAAAGCAGTGCGTGATTGGCCAACACTAGACAATGTGGGAGAGTTAAGAAGTTTTATCGGGACTCTGTACCTATTACCGGAAGATTGTGAATTACTTTGCAACTATAGCTGCTCCACTACATGATTTGACCAAAAAAGGCCAGAAGTATGAATGGACAGTTTCTTGCCAGCATGCATTCAAGACGTTGAAAGAAAAATTGGCCTCAGCTCCACTTTTAAAGTTTCCAAATCTCTCACTGCCATAATACTGGATTGTGATGCCAGTAATGTCGGAATTGGAGGAGTGTTGTCTCAGAAAGTGGGTGAAAATGAACATGTGGTGGCCTACTTCAGTAGGGTCCTGAGTAGACCAGAGAAGAACTATTGTGTAACTTCTTGCTATAGTAAAGAGTCTGACACATTTCCATCTTTACCTCTATGGGTCTAGGTTTACCATCAGGACAGACCATGCTGCATTACGCTGGTTAAGATCATTAAAGAACCCAGAGGGACAACTGGCACGTTGGATCGTAAAGTTAGACCAGTATAATTATGATATTGAATACAGAGAAGGAAAATCTTTTGGAAATGTTGACGGACTGTGCTGAAGACCCTGCAACAATGACTGCTGACCTTGCTGCAAAAGAGAGGTTGAACTAACCAGGTGCCATCAAGCTGAAGTCAAAGTGACTGAAGGAGTTGATGATGGTGATGTGGAACCAAGTTTAGATATTAAAGTAGAACAGGAGAAAGACCAAGATTTGAAGCCAATAATTGATTTTCTACAAGCAAGTATTTTATGCCCTGCTTGGGAGAAGGTGTTTAACTTAAGCCCTGTGACAAAGAACTAATGGGTACAATGGGACCAGTTGAAACTTGAAGATGGTATTCTTGTCCGGAGATGGGAAACTGATGACCTGGCAAAGAGTTATAATGAGAAAGTTATGGGAAATTGTGCTGCGTCAATCCCATAATAGTTTAACAGGAGGACTTCTTGGAGTTAAGAAGGCATTGAGTCACCTACGACAGAGATTTTAGTGGATAGGTATGAGACAAGATGTGGAAGAATGGTGCATAACATGCAGTACATGTTGTGCTGAAGTTATATCAAGTTGACGCACCAATGGAAAGAGTAACCATTGACATTGCTGGTCCGTTGCCCCAAACTCGTGCTGCTGCTGTACGGACCGAAGGCGGATGTACGGTACAGACGAGTAGCCCTATTTGTACATCTACTACTAGTAGGTCTTCTTACTAACGTTTTTAAGGGGTAAC